TCATTTACCCCATTGTGTTTGTTGGCAACTCGCTGGAGCAGGCGTACATTGTTTGTGGTTTCGCTTACGTGCATGCTAACAGTAACACTACTGGTGCCCTTTTCTTCAATAACCATACCGAGAACGAGTATGTTCTTAACCTCGGTTATTTTTCTAACACAGCTCGCATAAAGGGTAATGCTTCGACGGATTTTCTGCCAATCAGGGGGCTTTCAACCCTGCCTGACTGGGCGGTAATGAGCAGTTCAGAGTTCGCTCGCGAGAATCTCAAAATTAAAGTATAGAATTAGGATAGTTGTAAATTTATTAATGAACATCGCAACGCTTAAACTGCACTTGTCTTCGTCTTTTGTGTTCGTTGTCTGAAATGTTTGCGCTGTGAAGTTCAATAATGCGCCTATCAGCCCAGTGGAAAGGAGGTAAGACGCGTTGGTATGTACTATGAGTTGCAACGCCTGTTCTACACTCTAAAAATTTTTGCAACCATAAGGGTGTATTTGTTTTATCCCATGGGCAACATCCTTTTAGGATGTCTAGGAACACTCTAAACAATAAGGTGTTTAGAAACAGCCTGAAACCGTAGGGTGTAAAGAAACATTACACCCTACTGTAATAAGTGTTTATTAACACCCCTAAACGATGGGTATTGGATGAGGCTACACCCATGCGAGAGGGGTGTAACACTAAAAGCCCCCTTAAAACGATGGCAGTTATATGGATAAGCATACTTGATCAAATGAAGCGCAACTAACAGGACAGCAAAAGCAGAACCACAGGAGGTAGCGCTTCGTCTTGTGCGTTGAGGAGAGCGGTTCATAGCACTTCATTCCATCAAATATGCATCACCAACTAGCCCAAGCCTCAACTGTTCTCAGGGAGAAGCATATATGAACCTTCTCTGCAGCTGACAGGGAAGAAGGAAGATACTGGTGTCACCCACTGCAGTTATACTTGCATGCATGCAGCTGATAAAATAAGGTACCGTGGTCTTGAATGAGCTGTATAAGACCAGTGTATATCTGTGTATGTAGACTGGGCCGAAAACGACAGAGTAGAACGTGGAAGGCACTTCACACACACACACACACACACACACACACACACACACACGCACACACGCACACACACACACATTTGCCCCGCCGTGGTGGTCTAGTGGCAAAGGTACTCGGCTGCTGACCCGCAGGTCGCGGGTTCAAATCTGGGCTGCGGCGGCTGCATTTCCGATGGAGGCGGAATTGTCGTAGGCCCGTGTGCTCATAGTTGGGTGCACGTTAAAGAAGCCCAGGTGGTCGAAATTTCCGGAGCCCTCCACTACGGCGTCTCTCATAATCATATGGTGGTTTTGGGACGTTAAACCCCCCAAATCAATCAATCAATCAATCAACACACACACACACATATGCACGCACACACACACACACACACACACACACACACACACACACACACACCACCACATCATACCACAGTAGTGCAAGCAGTAACCTGTAGCGTAAGGTTCAACCAAACATAACGCCGAAGCAAAAAACAATGAAGCCCAGATGTTCACATCTGCCTTTATAATAAAGAAACTGCAAGTCTGACAAAGAGGACTCTGATGGCATTCTGCAAAATTTCGAAATATCTCAGGAGACCATGTTTCTTCTCTCTATACTAAAAATTCATTTTTTTTCAATACAATGAATCCCCACAACTTTCAAAAAATTTGCGCTAGTCGGGAAATGACTGAGCGGTTTGGCGTTGATTGACACCTATACAATAGAAAAAACACGTAGAAAGAGTAAACGAGTTTCTGGAGTCACATTTACAACCTATTATGTCTCGCAATATATATTCGACAACAAAATGAGAACATTCGACAAGGTAGTGTAATTGGGGTTGTAATATTTCAATATTAGTGTTGGTATACTTCTAACTGCAAAACCACAGCTCGTCACTGCTGCTTGCACAATTATCTTCAGCTTGTGAGATGACAGGTGCATTCGAGAGAAGTGGGGCGAAGCTATTCTTTCTATACGAAAAAGTCAATCCTGGAAACCTAAAATAAATACACAAGGAACAATGACTGAAATTTCACAAAGAGTGCAACGTGCAGTATGCACCCTGCATAACTAACTGCTTATCAATGTGTAAGTATCAATTGAGTGCATAGCAAGCATATTCAATGGCATTGGGCTCCACTGCAGTGGAAAATGCTAGAAAAGGTATGATGAGCAATAAACGCTATAAAAAGCGTGCTGTGGCAGAATCCATATACATATCAAGCCGTAGATATGAACCATACTTTACCCTTTCAGCTTGCTCGCGCAGGCAAATAAAAAGCGCAGCTCCAAGTTGATAATATTTAATTAGCTATATTCCTCGAGCAATCTAAGTTAATGATAAGGTATATGCTTAAGTATGCATCAACACAGCTGCATGTGTATTTCTGCAGATCTACCATGTGGTACTCATTTGATTTATTAAAAGGAATACAGTAGGACGCACAACAACATATACATATTTTATCTGTATTGCACAAAATCACAATGCCACTGAGAATACATGACGGTATGCGCATTGAGAAGGTATTCAGTGCAGGTAACTTGTAAAATAAGTACTGTACAGCTACGTAATAAAATGCGAATGGTACTAGTGTTCTTTAACTGGCTCACATTGACACGATTATTTATTTATTTATTTATTTATTTATTTATTTATTTATTTATTTATTTAGTACCCACAGCGCCAGAGGCATTACAGTGGGGGAGGGGTTTACAGTCAGTCTGGACAGTTCAATATTTTGTCATATATAAAGCGTGGAAAACGGTAATAGCAACAACAACAGCTACACCAGATCGACAACATAAGTTATTCACAGCAGTATGCAGTATATGTGAGAAACAAGAACACTACAAGGTTGAGTCACTTCAACAGGAAAAATAAGTGATTTGATATCGGAGTATAGCCACAATTCCCTTCTGCATACAGTGTGAGGACAAAAGAAAGAAGAAGAAAAGATAAGAACAGTAATACATACAGTACGTCCTAAAAAGATCAAAGAAACAATCATTTCAGCAGGGCAAAAAACATCTCATTGGAAACTACGTTGACGATGTCAGCAGGTAACCTATTCCAGTCGTGGATTGTTTTTGGAAAGAAAGATTTCTTAAAAAGTTCCGTGCGGCATAGAACCTCTCTTACTTTTCGCTCATGGTCCACGCGTTGGGACCTATAGTTAGGCGGTATTATATATATGTCTCTCTGTATGTTAATCGTACCATAGTAAATGGAATGAAAAAGCTTCAGGCGCAGCTTTCTGCGTCGTTCTACCAGGGTATCCCATTTGAGTTCTTCCTTAGTTCTTGTTGCACTGAAATTAATTGTGTATTGACGGGACACGTACCTCGCACCGAGATTCTGAACTCTTTCAAGTTTAATAACGTCGCGCGCCGTCGTAGGGTCCCACACTACACAAGCGTACTCGAGGACGGACCTCACGTACGTCTTGTAGAGTAGCTCACGTGTGGACTGACTGAATGCACCAGAGTTCCTGCGAATGAAGCCCAGCATTTTTCCCGCCTTTCCGGTTACGTAGTTAACCTGCTTCTGCCACGATAATTCTGGGGTATACCAAACACCTAAGTATTTAAATTCGGTTACTTTACCAATTACAATGTTATTCAGGGTGTAGCAGTAATTTAGAGGGTTCTTCTTTCGAGTGAATGTCATATTGACAGTTTTCGTGAGGTTTAGCTGCATGCGCCACCTAGTGCACCATGTGCTGATTCGATCGAGGTCTTGCTGAATCAGGTTGAGGTCTTCCGTACCGTTAGTGATCCTATAAACCACACAGTCATCTGCAAACAGCCTCAACTGCGATGTCAAACCGTCGCCAATATCATTGATGTACAATAAGAACAGCAAAGGTCCCAGGACGGAGCCCTGGGGTACACCAGATGAAACGCTTTGTGCCCGTGACCGAACCCCATTTACAACCACGAATTGCCGGCGTAACGTTAGATATTCTTTAATCCATGAGACAACCGCCGGATTTATTTTATATGTGAGCATCTTTTCAATGAGTAATGAATGGGGTACTGTGTCGAAAGCTTTCCTGAAATCGAGGAAAATACATTCAACCGCAAGCCGTTTATCTAATGCAGAAGCAATATCATTTGTGAATTCCAATAATTGGGTAACACAGGAAAAACCTTTACGAAATCCATGTTGGGCTGACGTAATCGCAGAATGAGTATTCAAGTGAGCTACAATACTCGTGAATAGAATGTGCTCCATTATTTTACATGCAACGGATGTCAGCGATATCGGGCGGTAGTTTGAAACGTCGCTTCTAGGGCCGGACTTATGAATAGGGACCACAATACCTGCTTTCCAATCATCAGGAAGAGAAGCTTCGAGTAGTGACATATCAAATATAACTTTCAAGTACTTTGCTATCGATTCAGCGCATGATTTAAGCAGGAAATTGGGTAAGTCGTCAGGACCACACGCTTTAGAAGAGTCGAGCCTTCGAAGCAACGATTCAATGCCGTGTGTACATATGACAACATCATCCATGTCGCTTATCGTTTCAAGTACCGGTGGGACGTCTTCAGAAGGCATTACTGCAGGAGTGAAGACGGAGCAGAAGTAGGCGTTAAAGCATTCTGCCTTGTCAGCGTCTTCGCGAACAATGACGTCACCAGACACGAGTGGAGGGATAGTTACAACATCCTTGCCATTCTGCTTCACGTGCTTCCAGAACACTTTCGGTTTATCTTTTAGTCTTGTTTGAATAGTTCCCGAATAACTGTCTTTGGCAATGCGTGTTGCTTCTTTAACTTCACGAGTTATTTCTTTCAGTTTTTTCTCTGTCTCTTTTGAAGGTTTTCTGCAATAAGCGCGATAAGTTCGTTGTCTTTTTTGTGTGAGCTGGCGCAAGGTTTTCGTAAACCAAGGCTTGCTTCTACCCTGTCTCGCCGTCAACACCCAAGTTAGGGACGAACAGCTCACGTAATTCGAGTATTTTCTGCTTAAATAACCGCCACAGCCCGTCCACACTCCTACACTCGGCTTCCGTTTCGAACACTACTAAATAAGCCTGTAATGCTTGATTTATACAATCGAAATTGGCTTTTTTATAATTGTACAGTTTTCTGTTAGCATGGTTTTTTGTTTTAACATAGGCCAGCGACATCGTCGACACGACAGCGTGATGGTCGCTTATGCCAGGAATCACAAGCGTTGACTGAACAAGTTCTGGTCGATTGGTAAGCAGAAGGTCTAAAATGTTGTTTCCCCGCGTTGGGGTGAGGACTAGCTGATGCAGAGCATGCAGGTTGACCATGTTCATCATTTCTGTATTGCATATTCCAGTAACTGTGGCGGTGTTCGATGCATCCCATTTCAAGTCCGGTAAATTGAAGTCTCCCCCAATGACCACGGTATCTGAGTGAACTTCATCAATCGCACTTTGAAGTCGAGTGAGAACATCCGGCGATGCATTAGGGGGACGATAAAAGCTACATACTGTTAAGGCGATGCGGTTCGGAAGTTCTAGTTTGCACAACACTACTTCACTCACGCCAGCATCAACGTCAATCTGGGAGGACCTAATGCTACTATCAATGAGAATGAACACACCCCCTCCATGACCGTTCCTGTCTTTTCTGTAGCAGGTGTAACCAGTTGGAAATACCTCGTGGTCACCAATGTCAGGATCTAACCAGGATTCCGTACCGAGAATCACGGAAGGCTTAACAGTTTCTACTAAGGCGGAAAATTCATCTCTCTTATTCCTTATGCTCCTGCAATTCAGCAGAAGAATACTAATGTTCACAGAACTAGACTGGCACGGTCACTTCTGTGGGGTCACATGCATTGTTGCATCATCGCAGACAAACTTCTGCCCGTTCAAAAGAAGGTAATCGTACCTAAGCATAGCTTTCGCGCCATCCTGTTTTTGTGCTTTTGCATATTCCCACAAAATTTTTCTTTTCTTTCGTACTGCTTCGGAGAAATCTTCGGAAATGCTAGTCGTAGTGCCTTTTAACTTTCTTGCGTTGCCTAGGACTTGCTGTTTTTCTTTGAAAGATGAAAATTTTGCGATGATGGGTCTGCTCCTCCCAGCTCGAAAACGTCCCAACCGGTGTGCCCTTTCTATTCCTATAGTGGGAATTCCTAACTTCGAAGAACAGATATCCAAGATCTGTTTCTCACACTCCGCATTTGTTTCGTTGGCTCCTTCGTCGGGTATACCGTGAAAGATGAGGTTGCACCTTCTGCTGCGGTTTTCAAGGTCGTCAACCTTTGACGTTAGAGACTTCAACACTCGTGCTTGAGTCTCACATTGTACAACGCACTCTGCTAAAGACGATTTAATTTCATCAAGGTTTGTGAACTTAGTTTCAAGGGATTTGATACGATCACCTAGATCGTTTATAGCGAGCTTGTTTGCAGCTTGAACGGTTTCAATAGCATTTAGTTTATCCTTAATTATGCTTTGACCTGCTAAGAGCTGCTGCAGTGTCGCCTCGGTGGACGGTCCCGGATTCACCTCTACGTCGCCACATATTAGCAGAAGTAAAAAATAAAAAGAGAAGCGACGCAGCAAGCGAAACTGTTTCCGCGAACGGTATTGCGTGCATGAATGTGACAGAATGCAGTCAAACAACTTTTGGGGTGAAACCGGCAAGAAAAAGGGGAGCAAGAAAGGGGGTTCCGTATGACTAACCTGCATAAGCAGTAGGAACAGCGTGAAGCGTACTGCTGCAGCCATGCCGGTTTCACGCCCCACTGACGCACTGAAGAGTCCCGCTTTATGAAGCTGAGCGTTATCGTCGAGCCGGTAATCACTCAGATTTTCACTGGCAGGAATCGCACATGCGCCGGATACCGGAACGTCTGGTGGCGTCATCCCGCTGTCGTCATCAGGTGCTACGTTGGTTTTAAGGGTTGTTCCTCGTAGTCCTTGCGTTGTGGCTCCTTCCGGTGGAAGAAACGCTGCGGCTTTCCTGGGACACTGTCTTGCAGAAGCGCCGTTAACCTGCATAAGCAGTAGGAACAGCGTGAAGCGTACTGCTGCAGCCATGCCGGTTTCACGCCCCACTGACGCACTGAAGAGTCCCGCTTTATGAAGCTGAGCGTTATCGTCGAGCCGGTAATCACTCAGATTTTCACTGGCAGGAATCGCACATGCGCCGGATACCGGAACGTCTGGTGGCGTCATCCCGCTGTCGTCATCAGGTGCTACGTTGGTTTTAAGGGTTGTTCCTCGTAGTCCTTGCGTTGTGGCTCCTTCCGGTGGAAGAAACGCTGCGGCTTTCCTGGGACAGTCTTGCAGAAGCGCCGTTAACCTGCATAAGCAGTAGGAACAGCGTGAAGCGTACTGCTGCAGCCATGCCGGTTTCACGCCCCACCATTATATAATGGAAAAATTTGCTATTGGGTCATTCCATATCAGACGTCCCAGTCATTTTGGCGACCATCTCAAATGTATTCGAAAAAATTACGCTGATGTACTGCATGAAAAAAAAGCAACTCCTAGAATATTTCGCAAAAAATAATTTTTTGGTCACGTGGCTGCCTCCTGAACGTCCCGGAATCTCGTCTGAATGCTTGTGAAAAAACTTATTTCATAAGTACCTCTTCTTCTTTCGTGCCAAATTTGGTCTGCAAGTTAAGTGAAAGGCTTGCGTAAAGTTTTGGAGCTCAGTAAATTTATTACCACATTTCGACCACATACGCCTCAAATATTTTAGCCAAAATGTGTTATACCTGAATTTTTTTATATCAATACTGCACTTTGAATTATTATCTGAGGAGTGAAAATTCACATAAGGCATATTTGGATGAAAAAATATTTTAGACCTCTCAAGCTGTCAAGCTTTACAAAAAAATTGCGAATTTCACAAAATTGTTGTTTTGTCTATAATGAGACGCAACTTGTACCATGTGGTGGTTGAATTAAATGGACTTTGTACCTAAATCGAAAGCAAATAAACAGTTCTTTTCATGTGCCAAATTTTGTCATACCAATTTATGTTTTTTGAGAAAAAGATCACAGCATAACCTCGGAGTGAATGATGATGAGCGGGGCGTAGCATTCGTCCGTCCGAACGCACAAACGAATAGAGAGACAGTCTGGCGCAAGTATGGACGGACAGAAAGACGGACGGACTCACGGAGAGACCAACACACGGAAGCCCGGACGGATGGATGAACAGACAAACAGACGAAAGCACAAATGTACGCACGAACGATTCGCCCCATGAATTATTTTGTCCGTGTATATGCTGTGAAAACCACTGACGCTATATATTGTGCAACTCATAAAGTGGCTACATAATACTAGTACGACTACAGAGGAGGGAACGACCCACGGCCTCAAGAGCTTTGCCCCCAAATGATTTTGGAAGTTCCAAGCTCCCCATTTGCAGTTTGGTTAAAAGGCAGCCAACGCTTCGAAGTTCCCGATTGCCGTTGATGGGAAAATTGAAAAATTATTTTATTCCTTAAAATAGAAATTGTAATGATGAAACTTGTCACATACAAAGAAATTTTCTTTCAATTTAGGTTAAAGGTGATTTTTAATTGGACTACCACACGGGGCAAATTGCGTCTCAATACGGACACAAATGACAATTCTGTCAAATGAGTGATCTTTTCTCGTAGAGGTTAACTGCTTAAGATGTATAAAAATCATTTTTCATCAAAATATTTTTTGTGAAGTAAGTATACACAGCTCGCATATTTATACAAAGTGCAGTATCGAAATGAGAAAAGGCCAACATAACACATTTTGGCTAAATTCTTGCAGACGTATGTGGCAGAAAAATTTTAATAATATTACTGAGTTTCAAACACCCTACATAAGCCCCTTTACTTAACATGTACCAAACTTGGTAAAATAAAGAAGTGGTACTTCTAAAATATTTTTTTCACAAACAACACTCAAACAACATTTTGGAAAGTTTAAATGGCAACCACGTGACCAAAAACTTTTTCTCTCCAAAATATTCAAGCAGTTCACTGTTTTCAGTGCAGTAAATCTGTACGATTTTTTTTCACATTTGCCATAGCTGCCAAATTGGCTAGAAAATTTGGAATGAAGTGACCCTGTTACTTTCACTCAAGGACCATTACATACTGCTAGACGAGGGCCAATTTTTTCAATCATGCTGGCAAGCTGAGAAAGCATAACTCCTTCCCGATGCAGCGTAGGCTGTTCAATGGTTGTGCGTGTTGTGTTCCCAGGTAAATATGGTGCCCAGTCTTACATTTTGACTGCAACACATGCTTAGATACCGTGCAGTATGTATAACAATAAAGCGTTTTTTATGCAACAAAAAAACAATTAATACGCTTCACTTAGCGAAATACCTTTAACATCTGAAGTACCTAGCGAAGTTAAACACAAAAGCGAGGCGATGACAACAAAACTCTGAATAAAAAGAATATTTTTAAAGTTACACATAATGGAAACAATCTGAATAAAATGTGCTCGAAAGTGATCAGCTATGTTCTAACAAGCGTTTGCACTGTTCAAGTAGGCAATTCGACCACACACACACACACAGACGCAAGGTCTGTTCAAACAAAAGTCCAGCCTCAGTGCTCGATCCGCTACACAGGCACGGCTGTTGGCAGTGTCACGCTACGTTGCGGGTGAACCAAAATACCGGTGAAGACGAATTTAACGAAATTGAATGTATTAGCCAGTAGGCAATCTTCGCGAGGCACACCTAACACGAAGCAATATGCTGTGTTGTCAGCCGATCCATCAACTCGAGTTATGACGGTAGTGTTACCACCCAAAACGAAAAAGAACCGAAAAGAACGATATGGACACCACACCATTGTTATTCGTTCTCGGTCTTTTTGTGCAATAAAAAAAGAGAGTAAATGAACTACCAACATGCCCAAGCATATGCGTCTTAGATACGGTTGATGCATAGAGCTAACAGATGGCGTCCCCACACATGTAATAATTAGTAAACTAAAACTTATGTGCATCACAAGCGGGCCCCGTTAATTACGGCTGCCAACAAAGGGCACCACGAAAATCTGTTCAATTTCTTCGCTGAACCTCAGCGGCGCACGCTCACTCTGCTTTGTACTCTAAACAATGTAAACAAACAAACAAAAAACTTGTCCACAATCACACTTCGCCATCATCCCCGTAAAACAGTTCGGGCAAATATTCTCGCTAAGTAAACAAATGCTAATTTGTCATCAACTAGTTGAAAACAAAATTGTTTGAAGGCGTTATTCTCGTGCTCACGCAGCAAACCGCTGCATGGAACAACGTGAGAGTGGTACTCACTATTACTATTGTTCTTGTGTCGAATTCTGACTGCCTTTTTTGTTTACTTGATGTTATTTTATGTAAGTTCACTGTTTACTTTTCACTTGTGTTGCGTATTTTACATGCTGTTATAATTAATATTTTATTAATATTGTTAACCGAGGGTCCCACTGTAGTCGCTTGACTTCGGGACCCTCGTCTGCGTACTACATTGTACGAATTTTGTATTTTGATTGAATGAATAAACTGAAACTGAAACTGAAACTATTTCACTTCGAGTGATCCACAATATGAATTCACAGGTCCAGTCTTCAAGATGGTGCACCTTCGCAATAATCAGTACTGACAGAACACACAGGTCGATCACAGAGCGCAGGCAAATTTCAAACTAAACACCGACTAATAAACTCAACCTATCGAAAAGCCACGCGCACCACACGCACCCACACGGGAGGGTTTTTCGCCAGTGCACGCAGTGAGTAACATGTAAGACGACGCTGGTCTTTTTCTTGCACTCTGAGCTCACTGCACGCGCGCAGCGATCCCGGGCAGCCAAGGTTGTCTAGGCGACGAGACTTCATGGCGTTGGTGCGCTCTCAGACCGGCTAGATGTGGTTCAACGCTAGCTCCGGCCATCTACTGATAACGCGGGCGCTGCTTTTTTGCGGCAGTGATCTGTTGCGTTATACTCGTTCTTTAACAGTGCATCTGAATCGCATGTAGTGAACATTTTGACGGTGCAGTGTGACCAGCACGAGTTACTAGTCAGAACGCGCATTTGTAATATTCAGGAGCAATATTTAGCGCTCCTTCACTGACCAAATGTAATAAATGCTGGTAAAAAAGCTAAGCTGATGCGCTTTGCTTAGCTCTATGGGTCTTTAGGGACTGCAGATTCAGGGTCAAGCAGGCGATATTTTATTAGCACTTTCATTTCGCTAAAGACATTACATCATTGCATGCATTGGCCGTTACACTATTTGATGAGAACATATTGCCACGTGCGTACTGCTATGATGACGAAGACGAGAGTGCATACGCGCATCTGCACGCTTTTATGCAGCAAGCAATAACAAGAAAAAAGAGGACCGCTCTGGCGCGCAGTAAAAAAAAAATACTGACCTGCTGCTACTTTCTCAACCTGTTAATTACTACTTCCGTCTTCACGTTGCGGAAATACATTTGAACTTAGCTTGCAGTCCTTAGAGCAAGATCGCAGCTGAAAATATTTCATCAATGTTGTTTTCTCACTACCTACAAAGTCAAGGCTTTGACCGAAGCACGTCTGCTGGGGATGTTACGTAAATTAAAAAAAGAGGACTGAAAAAACGGAGAGAGAGAACTAGAGAATGCTTTCCACTCTCCTAAGGAGAGCTTTGTTTGCAATTTAGTAAACAAGGCTCCCGTCATTGTGAGCAAGGCTGCGTCAAGGTCACCGAACTGTCCTTATTCTGCATTTTTATTTATAGTCGGCGTCCTCTTCCTAATTTCCATGACGCATTTTCAAGTACACATGAAGAGGAACATTCGCTACAGTAATTAAATAAAACGTGTCTGCTAAAAATACATGACGTCAGTGTTTGTTTTTAAGCGACCTGGTGGCCTGCTGACATGGTGGTTATGGCTAAACAACTGTGTGTTGTTTTTTGCAGGTGGCGGACGTTTTATTTCCAACTTTAAAAACTTCGATCTTATGGGGGACGGAGGGAGAGGGGAGTGTTCTGTTCATGGCTACACTAATGTGCGCAACATTACTTTGTTCAGGCAAATCAGTGCACTTTGTGAGTGCTGACTAATAACGCAAATGACACAAATGAAAGAAACAGATACAGGAGAATTGGCCCTTACTCTATTGAACAAGCGGCGCTCCTATTGTATCTTCCGTCTTATAGTAGTTTGCGTTCTTTATCGATGAAGACTGCGTTTCGGTCATATTCCTGCTTCGATTCATTAAATAGACCCGCGAGCAGCTAGTAGTAGGAGCCTTGCTGGTATCAAGATGGTTTATATATACT